ATTTCATGAAGAACTTGCCATTAGATTCACTGTGTGTTCTTTACTTCTAAAACCTCAAAAGTCCAAACTGTGCTTGATGGTACAGAACGAGGTGTACCATTGCTCCTGCTGCTCCTGCTGTTGTCATTATCATTTTAGTCACTTCATTGTTATCACTATATTGCTCCTAAAACATGTGGAGAGCATGCTTACATATCTCTACTGCTAAAATACTGCACACAATGACTATCTTGAGTCCCCATTTCATCTATGATAATTTTTAAAGGTAAAGCTAGCTTATATGCACATATTTTAAGACTTTATTAGATAGCAAATTGAATTGATGTAGTCTTCGTTTTTTAAACAAGGATCCATTTTTTTTGTTTCCTGGTCATAAGAGGTTTTTCCTGTCACCAGTTCTTCTCCTTAAGGTTTTTAAATATGGTACTTATCCTAGTTGCTCTGATTCACTAATCCATAAATAATGTCAAGCACTTAGCACTGGTTTGGACAATCTTATTGTAGAGTTTGGGGCAGAAACAATGATATCAATAACATCCTCCATTCCTAACAAATCTGTACACAGACAAACATCATTTGAAGAATGAACCCCTTGAGTTGTTGAAAGGGTTGGTGGAAGGTATGGGCAGGGGTTTGCCTTTTAGGACTCATGTTGCTGCAGTCCCCACGCCTTACTTTCCGCTTGTTTTTCATCCACTGCATTTCATTTGTCTTTTTTATTTAATTTTTGATCATTTTGCCTCTGTGTCAACATGTATAGTCACTGCTACCAAATCTCAGCCCTGGCTTGATCCTTATATTTGATATAATTGTTCCTGATATCACTAAGTTTTACATCTGTTCAAGATCACAAAAGGATTCATTTTAAATTCATTCTTTCTTATTATTTTGTTCTACTATTTTAGCCAATCAGAAGTACCATATATAATTTATTCACTGTAATGCACAGCATCCATAGTATTCTCTACTCTTCATTCTCTTTCAAAACCTCCGTACCACCTCTGTCGGAACACAGACGCCTTAAAGGGCCAGACAAAGGAAAAAGAGATACTTAACTCAATGCCTCTGGTCAAAACTCAAAGGAAAAAGCCAGTCCTGGTTCAAAAAGGTTAACCAAAGTTATAATCCGGATTATCCAGAGAAAAGAACCGGATTAAACAAAGTACTCCGAAAGTCACACAAAACAGCACAGCATGCAAACGGCTAACAAAACAGAGAAGCCGCAAGGAAGGAAGCGTAGTCAAGCGTAGTCCAGGGTCATAGCAAGCAGAATCCGAAGTAGCAAAGTTCCAAAGTCCACGGAAGCAGCATCGTAGTCTAACCGGTCCAAGGTCAAGGAAGGGGGAAATCCACACTCACGAGAATCCAAGCCGAGTCGAAAGAACACATGAACAGGAGCAGCAACCTGAAGATCCCGAACCCAATGCCAACATGAAACAGGCAGCGACAAGTCCAGACAGTACCCAATGCAAGAATGTAACCAACACATTGCCTTCTGCAAAGATTCCCCATTTCAGAGCCCACTTTTATCTTACACATCATCATCAGAAGATGAGCTGACCTCCGCCCCATCTTTATCCCTTGCAGCTGTTCTTGATTCTACTCGTGAATTCCTATTCCCATCTCTCCAACTTCTCCATCTTCTGTCAAGACTTAGATCCCCCCAAGACTCAGATGTATTTCCCAACTGCCCATCCTCATTACCAGAGAACCCCACAAATGTATCACTAAACGTCAGCTCCGCACATACAGCTTGTACCTCCTTTATCTTAGTCCAGTCCAATGTGTCATCTCCGTCTTCATCACTCCCTAACCCATCACTCTTCCTCTTCCTCTGTTGCTCCTCATCCAATTCCTGCTCCCGAGTAACCCTCTTCCTTCCCCTATTCCCATCCATTGTATCTCCTTCCTCTCCTTCGCTCATTGACCCTTCGTCTCCAGAGAACCCTTCAAATGAGTCCTCATCGGTAAGTGTCATAAATATATCCTGGATCCTTTTCCTCTGTTGTTCCTCATGGGACTGCTGCTCACGAGTACCCCTTTTCCCTCTTCTGACACTCATACTATTGCTTGCAACGTTACTTACAGGCTCTACTACAACAACCTCTCTCCTTCACTCTAAATTTCACACACATTTTAAATATTAAAATTGAAACTATCAATTCAGATCTTGCTGCTTCTAGATCGCCCTCATTACCAACTTACCAAGGATCTGTTTCTTCTACTTTTTCTATTCCCACACCATTTTGCTAGATGAAACCACTGAGGTCTCCCATCCTGATTCACTTTTAAAATTACTGTTGTTCCTACCATTCTCCATTCTTTTCTCCACGCTATTCTACTGTCCCTTTCTACTGTCTTATCATTTCCATCTGAGGCTCCATCTACATTGACTAGTTAATGCTCTTCAAGGCTGGCTTGCTGCTGCAGCCAGACAAGAAACTCTCACAACAGTATGTGAAAGAAAGCCCTTCAATGCATATCAGTGCTCTGTTGTTTGTGAATCCACCATATGGGCCTCCAACTGGTTCCAGGATTTCCTACAGAATAATCTGCACAATGAAACCACTTTCTTCAATACTTGTTTAAATGCATTAAATGGCCAATGTATTTGAGGCCTGAATTAAATATGCTACTGTTTCTTTAATTTTAAAGAAGGCTTCACTTAATCTCATTTTCCTTCTTATTCTCCCATTTCACTGTTGTCTTCTCTTTTGAAAGTTTGCAATGTGTGGTTTATGTACTTTGCATCAACTTTCTGGTATTTCTATGATGGATCTATTTTAATCTGGATATTATTCTTTGAACTCTGTCGAGACAGCCCTTACAATTATAATTAATATTCTTTTGATTACATGAAAATGCTCATATTTATTTATTTATTTACCTTATTTATATCCTGCCTTTCTCTATCATGAGGCGGACTCAAGGCAGTTTACAATTGCACCTCCACAGTGCATTAAAACATACAACATCAGTTAAAAACATAACATATCCAGTCCTTATTCCTAATCTCTCCTTGCAACATGGATCCTTGGATTCTTCTTCAATGATCCCTTCTGTTGAATTCTCTTCATGATCCAGGGATTAATTATTCAGTCCTCAGTTGGGTCACCTGTTATCTCCCAAGCCAGTCATTTCATGTGGTGGCTGAAGATTGTACCTCACCTTTTCTTATTTCACATTCCTCAGCATTTTGCTCTGGGCCCTTTGTTATTTTTTCTTTATACACTATCTCTGGATTATCTTATTCTTACATTTTCCAATATCATTCTTATACTGATGAAACTCAACTATATGTTTCGACCCTAGAGCATTTTTCTGATACTGAACATTTTATTACAGCATGGCTTTTAGCTCTCTCAGTATGGATACTTCATCTTTACCTAAAAATACGGCAAAGGCAGTATTGCTTATTTTTCCTCCAAACCCTTATTTGCAATATAAATTCTCTATCACTGCAAATAATGCCAATAATGTTCTCATTTGTCCTGTCAAGGAAGCCCCTATGTGTATATTCAGGAAGAAAATAATGCTATTGTCCACTGAGACCTCCAGGATCTTGGAGAATAAGTTAATATGGAAACAGATTTGTATGTAGAGGTGGATTGAGAACAGTATCAAATGTTAAATTATACCCATGCTGTGCTTTATGTCCACTATCTTAAAAACAACGATCAGGAGAAACATGAATTACTATTTTTGTTGGACAGTCCATGACCCAACTATAGGTAGTGGGTAATGTGTAGGTCCCCATATCTATACCTGTACTAATATCTATATATCTCAGGATTGATGAAATTACTTATAGGAACTTGCAATAAGAATGAATATAATGATATGCTGAATCCATTCAAACTGAGAAGTGGATGATGCTCTGGTGCCCAGCTGTGAATAGTTTCAGCATGTCACTATATTTCTTCTCAAAGGCAAACTTATGAATTTTGAAAACCAAAAAACCCAAAAACAAACAAAAAACAACAACAAAACCAAAAAAACCCAAGGGTGGTAGACAAAATAAAGGCAATAAGATTTCTGCCCCAATGAAATTATCTCTACCCCTGCCACACAAAACTTCTAATATTGCAGTAACTTAAAACTTTCATTGACTTTTTAGGGAATATACTTTGGGCATCCAAAGAAAAGGTACAGGAAAATTAACCAATTAACACAGCAAATATAAAACAAATTAGTTTGAGGGGGAGGAATTCTCATTTGGAAGGGCAATACCATTATTTTTCCTTTCCACAGCTACAACATGGAGAAGCTCTGCCTAGCTTTTATATGAAATGAATCCACTTTAATGGGAAAGAATCAAATGTGAAACCCTCCACCTGTAATCTGAGGTGCTTAAGTCTAGCAAGATCTGTACTCAGTATATTCTTTTGAATATTGGTTTGTGGGAACTAAATTACCCTGTTGCAGTTGAGTACAAATAAGTACTGAAAGTGCCAAGTGTTCTTTAATAGCCATAAACAGATAGTAAGAAATGCGTGGTCAAGATTGCTTTGTAAGTATTCAAGTCAATTACAGGTGCTTTGTGAGGCATGAGTGGAAGGAAAAGTTCCACTGAAATAACATGTAATAATGTACTGAACACCAGAAGTTGCATAATAAATGTTCTAATCTAAACTATGGCTTTAAAATACAAATACTTCAAATCCTTGCAGTTCCAAATAGATGCTAAGTCTAGCAATCCCTTCAAAGAAATACATCTTCATTTTAAATTTCATATTGATTATTCAGTAATTGGCAGGGATTTATTTTTTCCAAATATCTTCAAAACATTATATTCACAGGCCCATAGCAAATGCACATGTAAAAACAAAGGAAGAAAACATACTCTGTGTCTTGAAATGATAGATCTTACTGAGCCTCTAATGACACCATTTAGTGTTACTGTCAACTTTAACAACTTCAAAAAATAAAAAGATAATACCCTGTTGTTTAAGTTTTTTACTGATAACATACAGTCCATATTCACATATAATGCTTCATACCTTGTGAAAATTTCTGAAATATGCTGCCTTCTCATCTGGAAATTTTTCTAGCCTTCTGGGTCCTTTACTAGAAGCTTTTTTGAAAACCAGCCAACATCTTCTGAAAATCTGCAAGAAAAATTAAGGGAATTATATTAATCCTCGTTCTTAACAAAAGCAATTTATAATGTATAGAAACAAACATAATGTAGAGCTAGGATGTAATACAGGGGACCTCTGACTCAACTCTTGTGCCTTCTCTTTTCAAGTGCTAAGTAGTCCCAGGGAGCCCAAGTTGGGATAGAGCCACAAAACAGGGGCTTCATCTTGCCTCTTGAATAGCTTTCTTGCTTTAAATTCTCCATGACGTTACTATTCATGTGTGAGAAAGAGATACAGGAAAATGAACCTACATGTAAGAAAAGGAATTTATCTCTGTCAGGAACTCTTGTTTGTACCTATGTTGGCTAAATTATACTAGCCGCAGTGGTGGCAGGATGAGGGAAGCCTTTGGATACAGTGGGCATAACAAAAGCAAGGCTACTTAGTGCTGGAAAGTTTTGTATATTTTCCCTCAACATCATTTTGTGACACTGCCCCCCCCCCCAAGAAAACCCCCAGTTAAAACAGAGCAACAAAAGGATACTGACACAAGTCTTCTAACTGGCACAACCTTCATCTGCTTGCAACTTAAAAACAAACATTTTAGTTTGATTGTTTGGTTCAAAACTGAAGCACAAAGCAACTATGACTAGCACAGTGACTAATAATGCGATTTGATTCAGGCCTAATGAAGGTTTGTGGGCCAGATGCAGTCCTCCAAAGGCTTTTACCTGGCCCCCACCCTAAACTTGAGACTTAGAGTCACCTTAAGTCTGAAGCAACTTGAAGGCACACAATAAAAATCTTAATTAACTTGACTCTCATCAGTCCCATTGAAACACTGGTAAGTTTATGTTCACCCAAAAAGTGAGCCTGGCTGCCATCCAAAAACCAGTTCTAAATAGATCTTTAATCCTGCTTATTCCTGGCTTCTTTCAATTGAACGTCCTTTATAGAGTGATTTTACTGTTATTAACATTTTACACATTTAATGTTTATGTTTTAATTAAGTCCATGTTGTAATTTATTGTTTTAATGTCTTTCTTCATGTGGCGGTTCTGTCTTGAGATTCAGTATACAAATATTCTAAACATCCAAGCAAACACCCGATCCACATAGAAGTCTTGTCAATTGAAAATAATTCCTATTGTTCCTTTGGTACATTTGTTATTGCAATATTACTGACAAGATTGCTATTTGGTATCCCTCCATTCAGCATTCACAGTTGGTTTAACAAGCCATTTGCAGAGTGCTAATGACTTCAGCTACACATTCAAATGTTACTCCAACCCCTAACAGCATATAAATGCATTGTGAAACTTTTCAACAGGCCAGGCTTTTGTCCAACTGAAATAGGAATCATGAAAGCTGACATCACTGTGCTCTTCCAGTAGCCGTAACTTCACTCTACAGGTTCATCTCTTGGAAATAATAAGGCAACATGGCAGATTTCCAGGAAAGATAGCAAAAAGTAAACACCCAGACTTTCACTGAATAATGACTTTACAATAGTAAATTCCTGGTGTCATTGCATAACAACAATTTTATTCACTTTTCTTTAGTCTTCATTAATGTGCCTCATTGTTCATTCACATCTTTCTTACCCAGTTTCTGTTTCTTTTGACTAAACTAGGACCAAATCATGTAATGGCTGCAAGCAGTCCACATGATGTACAACTAGTTTTGCAGCAGAAACATTTCTTACAGATGTTTATCCAGCACAAGGAGAACCACAATTTATTCTAGAGCTTCCTGGAAACTATGGGTTGATCCTGGAGTTTTTGAGGTTGTACAGCTGGATCTGGCTGGATTTGGGGGGAAATAATGTTCACACATCAAAGAGACCCACTATTGTGTCATCAGTTGGAAGTAGGTCCCTAGCAGAGCCTTGCTGGCAATATCATTTCTGATGATCACATGAGTGGGTGTCCCATTGTGACCTCACTAGAAATGACTTCACCAGCAACAAGGCTCTGCCAGGAAGCTGTTTTTGTTTGGCAAGACAGTGGAAGCAGACAAGGAAGGTGGGTAGATTGAACATTTGTTTTAAAGTAGCACAATTAATTGATAGAACCCTAGAAGATACACTTCAGTTTCCTTCATGTAATACTTTATAGTAATTTAGTTTTTATGGCATATCTTAGAAAATCAGATGGCAAGTTCCAATAGGTTCTTGTGCACCATCAAATTATTTCCAATTCATAGCTACAATAAAGCAAACCTATCATGGATTTTTCGTGGCTGACCATGGATTTGAACTCTAGTCTTCTGGAGTTCTAGTCCAACACTCAAACCATTATTCTATGCTGGCTCGAACTTTAAATATCTTCACTTCATATTTTTTGTGCATGTTGCACTTTCCCTGGGTTTCATTGTTACACAAAGAAAACATTGTGGTCCTTAATGGGAAGAAAAGGGCTGCCAGCTTCACACATTCTATTTATTCAATGTTGGGCTTCAAGAGAGTTCTTATTGCAAAAACAGCTTTGACAAGGGTGGCTTGCAAAATTGTCTATGCCAGGGAATAAGCAATTTTGCAAGCTATCATTCCCAGGGAGCTTGTTACTTTTCAGAAGGCCAGCACCAAAGAAATTGTCTTCTGCAGTTAGCAACCTTCTTTTCTCAGAAACACCCATGAAGAATCTGTCATCATTTCTTTGCAATGTGGAACTAATGTTGCTGAAAAAAACCCTCTTGTTGCTTCAATATTGCCATTGCAAATTATGCCAACATATACTAGGTATAAAACAGTATCTTGACCAAAAACCTCTAAAGGCAAAGTGATGGTCCATACCCCTGTGAATATCAAGTGGCTCACAGGTCACATATACCCTTTTTACTCGAATCTAATGCTCGCTTTTTTTTGTTTTTGCTAAATTACCCTGCCAAGATTAGGTGTGCATTGGATAGTCATCATAAAGTAATCTTAGTGTTGAGACAAAGCAATACTAAGGAGGATGTGGAGCTCGAATTTGAGGCACCTAATCTCTAACTTAATTGCCATGGTTCAATGCTATTTGATACTGGGATTCATAGTTAATGCTAAATGTGCAGCAACTGAAATGTGCACTTTATTATCTAAATTACAAAGAGTGCACTTTTGGTCACTGCAAATACTTCTTTGGTTTCAGGATTTTGAAAATTGAGGTGCGCATTAGATTTGATGGCACATTAGACTTGAGTAAATATGGAAATTTACAGATTGCATTCCACCCAGGGAATAATCCTTTCATTCACAGGGTTGCCATAACTCAAAGCTGATTTGACAGTAATCAACAAAAACAACTTTGGATGCATTTACACTATAGAATTAAGGCATTTTCACACAACTAACTGCTATGGTTCAATGCTATGGAACCATGGAAAATACAGTTTCACAAGGTCTTCTCTGCCAAATAGTGCTTCTGCCTACAAGTTCCAGAATTGCACATCATTGTACCATGGCAGTCAAAGTGGTGTTAAACTACATTAATTCCAGAGTCCTAGTTGCACAGTCAGAGAAGATGTGTACAATGATTTTTTAATGATCAAATAGTTTGATTGAAATTGAAGAAATTAACATTTTCAAACTCCCAAAAGTTAATGAGATAAAAATAGATGATCCTAAAAAATTGGAGCCTTACAGCCTGACCTTTCACAAGGAGTTGCTATGAGTTTAAAAATTGGCAAACAACATATACTGCCTTGTGTATTATGTATTTAATTGAAAGCAAGGCAATATCAAAAAAATTGCTATACTCAGATCAACTTTCATTTCAGTCTGCAGTTTTATGAAAAGGATATACAGATGGATGGAATAAGTGCAGATCTACAACTATTCAATATTTTGAATCTATGTCATTGGGTTTAGGCAAAATTCCCTAATCTGACGAAAGCACGTCCTTGGTGATTTTTATAGAGAACAACTCCGCATTTTTAGAGCCTATAAATAGGAAGTCTTTGTAAACTGTAATAAATAAATAATAAGACCAGGAAAATAGACATCACTAATACATAGTAAATGAATGCATATTTTACACAAGACATCTTGTTGTCACATACAAGCCCACTCAATTATTTAGGAACAGTTAGCAACTCTTTTATCTCTGGCCTACTTTTTGTTGCCACTGGTTGTAATCAAATACAGATCAGTTACTGTGGGAGAGCATTGATAATATGCTAGCAACTGTAGTGAAATTTAGTGCCAGCCTTTGAATAGGCAAAAATATTGCTTATTTACTGGGATGAGGGCACAGGACCACTGTGAAAGTGAAAAATCATGAATAAATACATTGCTAGGGTTTTAAAAAACCTGATAGAACATTTCTCTAGCAATTTCTAACGGCACTTCCAGAAATCTGAGAAATACGTGCCAAAGTGGGCTTTAAAAACCTGCTTCGGTGCATGTTTCTGTCCCCACTCCCACCCAAAAACCTGGGCTCTCCGGGGGAGGGGTACATGCCATCTTGATACCAATCAGGATGGCATGCAGCCACCCTTAAGCCCCCCCTAAAAAAACCCTTAAAACATAAAAAAAAACCCTTACCCGACCAGCATTATGGTTCTCTTTGCACCCTCCTGGCACGAGGAAATTATGTGCCAGGAGACGTAGCGGACCAAGGCTCCCCCCGCCCACATCTCCTGGCGTGTCATTTCCTGGTAAGTTTTTTAAAAAAATTAAAGGGTTCTTTTGGGGAAGGGGTGGATGCCCTCTCAGTCTTTCAGGCTCAAAACTCTGATTTGTTCCAAATTAATTTGGTTTTACCAGAGACCCGAGATATGGGCCTTTCTGGATGGGATGCCATGACGCTTTGGTCATCTTCTCCTGGAAAATGGCCATATAACCACTCAGGCCAACCTAGAAATTTCTAGAGAGGTATTCTCTCTAGAAATCTTTAGGTCCTCCAGTACAACTGGAGGAAGTTGACATTAAAGTCACAATGGAACACCTAGGGATTTCTAGAGAAAACTTTTTAAATCAAATGCAAGAATAATCAAAACCACAGAAGTCAAAACCACAAAGTAAGGATAGCTGTATAATATAATCC